CACCGCTAACCTATAGTTACGATTGTTTAGTTTTGCTTTGATACTTTGTGCACTCACTCCCTTCTTTATTGATATTTTTGTCTCAATGCTCTTTATATATCGATTTTCATCACAAAAAAAAAAAAAAATCTCTTTTTTGCTGATAAAATAATAAATCTGCCTCTCCCCATATCCATTGCCACTATAAGTTATTTTTGTACCAAAACAAATTTTGGTGTTTCCTGAGTTGGTTGGTCTAAAAATTTCTATCTTCCAAATGGCTGCAAGTCAAAATAATAAATAACTGAAAATCCAAAAGCATTGTTTAGAAACTCTTCATTCACCAAACAAGTTTAAAATTGTTTAAAAAATGAAAAAGGCAAAAAAAAAGAGAAGGAATTAAAATAAAATGACAACACAACTAGACATCCAATTTCTCCATTTTTTAATTCATCCCTTCCCAATAAACATCCATAGAAAGTAAAAAACGAAGATACAATACATTTTGTCTAGCAAAACTACGCAAAAAAATATACTCTGTATTTTGTCTAATCACTTTACTTAGTGTGTATTCTAACAACACTCTCTATTTTACCTAACTATACAAACTAACACAACCAATTTCAAATGAAAAATGTTATATATGTATATGTATACATAAAATAGCAATATTATTCTTTTGAATGACATACTAGGTAATCACTTAGGGGTTGTTTAGAATGACCTAAATAAATGTATTTTTTTTTTATGAAAAGATGTGTAAAAAAGTAGAGAAGTGATGTGATGAAAAAAAGATAAAAAAATAAAAAAATAAATTATTTTAGTATTGTCAAACTTGACCTTTGTTATGACATAATTGTTGAGATGACATCTGTGAAAAAGTAAAATTTTTAAACAATTATTTAAATAAAATCCCGTACAAAGTTTGAAGGGACATTGCCAAAATTCTTATCAAATAAGATTAGTAATCTTCATTTATAAAATGAAAAAAGATCAAGGCCTCAAATTTGAGGGCTTGAATGCGGCTCGAATTGGGATTTATTTATTTATTTATTTATTTTTTCTTCTGAAGTTATGTTGGTTTGGTTGTTTTTATTTTTTATTTTTTTTTCTTCTGAAGCTATGTTGGTTTGGTTGTTTTTGTTTTATATTTTTTTTTCTTCTGAAGCTACGTTGGTTTTGTTTTTGTTTTATTTTTTATTTTTATTTTATATGTTGGGTTGTGTTAGTTTGGTTGTTTTTATTTATTTATTTATTTATTGGGCTGCTGTAATTTTATTTATTTATTTATTTATTTTTAAAGGATGGTTATGTGTAGGGGTGGGTTTAGAGTTAAGGATTTAAGGTTTAAGTTTTTGTTTCTTCTGAGTCTTTCTTATTTGAAATAAAAATATAGCAAGGACTCGTACAAAATTATATGAAATTAACAAATTTTAACTAGCAGTCTAACTGATCAGTCAATTTTATCACTCAATCAATCTAACCCAATTGTTTTTTTTTTTCTTTCTATTTGTTGGGCTATGTTGGTTTTATTTTATTTTATTTGTTGGACTGTGTTGATTTATTTATTTATTTATTAGGATCTAGGTTTTAAGATACACATAAAAACCTTTCCAAAAAAAAAAAAAAAAAACCAAAAACAAAACCAAACCAACATAGCCTCCGTTTGGGAAGTGGGTTGGCTTTTTGGCTTTTTGACTTTTTTGGCTATTTTAGCCTGGGCTAAAAAATTTGATTTGGAAAGGGCTTTTTGGCTTTTTGTTTTTTTTGACTTTTTTTGTGAGAGAAGAATGTAATGATTATGGGTTGGATGTGATATTTTATTTTTTATGGCTAAAATAGCCTATTTTGTCTTTTATGGTTAAAATAGCCAAAAAAGCCCCGTTTAGCTCTTGCCAAACGGAGCCATAGAAAAAAAAAAAAAAAACAGACAAAACAACTTTTCGAGGCAAATTCGCGCCTCCAATTTCGAGGTCTTTAGCACGGTTCTTATAAAATATAAGTAATGTAATAAACATAAAACAAATCAAAGATTGATGGGTTAGAACAGAAAAGAAATGGAGATGGAGCAATCAACACAATAGAGGGAAGACACTTTTACCTAGCATTGGACGCTAGTTACATGTGAAGAGTCAAAACTAAAAATAGATAAAATGTCTCTTCTACTGAATTGGAGATACAAAAATGAAATTTCACTAGCTAAAATGCCTAATATGCCCATTTTACCTATGAAGTTGCTTTAATTCTCTTTTTGTAAATTCATTCTTCCCAATAAATGCCCATATTAGGTTTAATTACAAGCTAATGATACTATTTGGTACAGTTTATTATAAATTAAAAATTGATAATCTAAAAGTAGAAGATAAAAGCATCACTCACCCAGTTTTTAGAAATCAACTTTTTTTCAAAATATTTAAATTATTTCTATTTATAATAAACCATAAACATTAGTTTTTTTTTTTTTTTCCTTTTAATCAACCAAAAAATTTTTTTATTGATAAGAAAAACATTTATTACATATGAAAAATATCAATAAAAAGAAGATAAGAACAAAAAATATCGAGACGAAATTTTAAATCTCAACTAAATTAAATATCAACTAAATTAACACTAAAAATTTGGTACAGACTCCCATAAACAACTTTGAAAAGCTGTACCAAATTTCCCAATATTTTGATAGCAACCACATCAGTCGCATGTTGCTGCAACATTCGTATATAGGTGTGAGACCCAATGGGTGTCACTAGGAATAAGAGGTAAATTACACAAGATGTCCATACATTTTTATCTTGTTTAAAACATTGGAAGCACTATATTAATTCTATGATATGATATGGGTATGGGGTAGGTCATTGGGAACACAACAGGTACATCACAGCCTCGCGCAACCAACTTCTGTCAAGTCTGGAGAAAGTAGTAGTTTCTCATACAGCAAAGGACCAAATCAACTTTTACGCACTTTTTCAGTGTAAATGATTTTGTTTTTTGAAAATGAATGATGGACTCCAGAGGATAGATAGTTAAGAAAAAAAAAAACAAAACAAGGGAGTACTCCATTAGTACGGAGGCAATTATTTCTATGGGCTGGAAAGCATTTGTCAATTCCGAAATAGTCTAAAAACTAAATTGGGTCGCCGAGTCTTGTAGGGCTAAACGATGAGGTTAAACTCCATTTCTATTATGTTTTTTTTTTCTTTTCCCACTATAATAAAATTGAATTTTTATAACTTCACGTCAATGCCACACAGTAAATGTAAGTTATTTTTTTTCACTTTTACTACTTATTTTTTTTTCAAGTCGTAAATAATTTATCATCTACAATATGTTTATTGCGTAGGCCATGAATGTTAATAACGATATTTTTTTATGACTTTCAATGTTAGCCATAAATATTAAAGCTTTTTATGGCGTGCATATAGCATGTCGTTAATATATCAACTATACACGACATGCGTACACTAACTGTTCAAAATATTGAATATTTCACAGCGCAAAAAAATCAGCCGTTAAAAATTGCACTTTCCACGACTTACAAAAAGCCATCCGTTTAAAATATTGCACTTTCCACGACACGCAATTGCTATCGTGAAAGGTACTATTAAAAAAAAAATTAGCGGCAAAATGAAAATTTTAGCGCCAAACACCAAATTTAAAAAAAAAAAAAAATCAAAACCCCAAATCTTCAGCCCCAATATCCTTTGTTTCTCTCTCTGCTCTCTCTCTCTCTCTCTCTCTCTCTCTCTCTAAGTCTTCGTTTATTTCTTTCTCTCTGACATTCACATTCACACTCACACAAGCACAAACCTTAGGCCACCATTCAACACCAAAACGTTGTTGGACCTCTCGATTTGCCTCAAAGAATTATCAAGCCCTAACACATATCTCTTTCTCTCTCTCTCTCTCTCTCTCTCTCTCTCTCTCTCTCTCGACAATGGCGAGCACTTTCTTTTCCAATTGCAATTACTTCGACAGCCTAATCATTGTTGGAATCTCTGTCTACACCGCTATAGTATGCGAAGCGATCTCATGGGTTCTAATCTACCGAACAACCTCTTCTACAAGTCCCTCAAATCTTCCATTGACAAAGCTTCAAAGAAGCTCGAGACCACGAAAACTGACTCTAACCCTTCCAAGCTCAACCTCAAGAAGTCCAAGACCAAGAAGATCGATCACGTCAAGTCCAACCTCAAGGACCAACCGCGATCTCTCCCTCTTCAAGTTCAAATCTAGCGTTGTCATCGCTCTTGTCCTTTTTGTCGTCTTCGGCCTCTTGAACTCTCTCTTCGAAGGCAAGGCCATCGCGAAACTTCCCCTTGTTCCTGCCAGAATTGTCCAAACGATGAGCCACAGAGGCTTGCAAGGGGATGATCCAACTGATTGTTCTATGGCATTTTTGTACTTTGTATATTCGATTAGTATTCAGACCAATTTGTAAAAGTTTTTAGGGTTTTCGCCGCCTAGAGGTGCCATTGGAGCAAGGTGTTTCCCAATTCCAAATCCCAAGAGCAATTGATCTAATCCAAATCCTAATTGATTAATTTTCGGTACCCTACTTCCTTCTCAGTTATTTTGAAATTTTTAGTTTTGGTTGTGTAATTGTGGGATTTTCTGATGAGTACTCGGATTGATTTTAATTCAAATAGAATGTATGGATTTATCTAATACTTGATCTTTAAAATATATCCCTTGCTAGGACTACATGTGTATCTGCAGTTGTGCACTATACAATTTTGATGATATTGGAGCCAAAGTTAATTGATTGATTCTAATTGATTTTATTGTCATGGTGTTTTAAGTTTTGTGATTATTCTGGTAAGAATAAAGAAATATGGAGAGAAGAGCTTGTGTAAAATTAGTAGCACTAAAATTGAATATATGGAATGTAGTTTTAGTAACAATACGAGTAAAAATAATCAAGAAGTGAGGATTGAAACTAAACAACAACAAAGATTGAATATTTTCATTACCTAAGTTCAATTATTGAAAAGGATGGAGAAGTTGAATATGATGTGATCTATATAATGGAAGTACGTTGTTGACTTCTGACATATTATGTGATCAATGAATACTAACAGAATTGAAAAGAAAATCTTATGGTAAAGCTATGATGCCATCCTAATAGCTGGATCTTGTTGGATTGTGGAGTTAATTTGATCTTGATTGATCCAATTTTTAAGCCATGCTTTGTTTTGTATGTGACTTGTTTTTTGGCTAAGAAAAAAAACTAGGAAAATAACATTCAATCATTGCTGTAATTTGTCATAACTAGAGATTTGAAGGAAAGTTACTAACATCTGCATCTCGTCGTAACCCACTCCACACTTTCCAACTAGACTTTATCAAATCTCTCTCTCTCTCTCTCTCTCTCTCTATATTTTTAATTGCAATTACACACTAAAATACAGAGTTATTGTTCATTTATATTTTGTAAGGACTTTTGAATAAGTTTTTGATGTATAGTTGTCATAGATTTTCTTTTGTATACAGATTGCACCTACTTAGTGCCTTTTAAATATGTTTTCTACATAAAATAAAATTTATTTTGGGTGGTCAACAGCTTTTAATGGTTATCATCAAGTGATTTGCTTCTATATAGGTTTTGGTCTTCATAGATGTTGGACAATTAACTTTTGTGATGTTTTGCAGGCAGTACAAAAGCTGATTGATGAAGAGTTTCAAGGAATTATAAATATGCACACTTCGACATTGCATAAGAAGATTGCATTCGCTCACCATGACTTTTTCAAACTTTCAGGTTCTGAAAACAAGCTGGAGGCATTGCTACAAGTCTATTTCTGTTGATGCATTGGTTCATTGATTTACAACAGCGGTGACCCACACTGAGATGAAGCACCTCTCTTCTCTTCAACTCTTCCTTCACAACTGTCGCTGATTTCTTCACCTCATGTTTTTCTTCTTTTTTCTCAAGGTTTTTTTTTTTTTTTTAAAAAAAAAAATAAAGAAGATAAGAAACTCCTTATTTGTTATCTGTTTTGTGCTTCTTGTGGCTACTGTTATATTTGTTGTGTATTGATTTGAAGTTGTGGGTATTGCTATAGGGGATGTGTTATGGTTTGCTTTTGGATTGTGCTTACTTCTAATTGGGTAAGGGTTCTTATTTTTAATTTTTGTAGTTTTGATTAATTGAAGCTTCTTATCAATATGAAATTTGTATGACTTATGTTGAATCTAATTTTGGAAAATGAAAATCAAAGGGCTGTGATTGGCATGATGGGGAAACCCAATCCCCCTTAGGTACCATTGGTGGTGCAAGAAAAAAATGTACTAGTTGGGATCGAACCATAGTCACGGGTTTAAGAGAAAATTTGGGATATAATTTAGAAACTACCCCACCCTGACCCCAACTTCTTCTCATTCCTAACACTTAGCAAAGAATTGAAACTGGCTGTTCGTTATTATAAACCACACCAAACTGTTGTGCATTCTAGCTATTCGGTGCTATGCAGTTTAATCGATTTAGTCATTTTGAATTTGGACCTATTTTTATTGAATAACCAATCAAACACATCATGCAGAACATAAAGTTATAGTTATTACTCAGTTTCCTTGTTTCAAATATTTGAGCTCTGATTGCACTAGTAGTGATGCTACGAATATATTTTGATCCTCTCATTTAGACAAAGAAAGTAAAACCTCTCACTTGTCAGCTTTCTTGTTTTGTAATCCCCTTCTATTGCAATATTAGCTTTTTGGTTTGATACTGATCTTCATCGACGTAGTCCTATCATTCATATTTTTATAGTTTCTTATTACAGCACTTTATGAATGTGGTGTTTCCATTTGTGTTTCTTATTCTCATTCTCGTAGATTGTGAGACTTCCAAATCTAGATGCCAGGTTTTCTAAAGTGGGAGTTGAGTAGAGCCTCTTCCTTGTTTCTTAGGCTGCCCCTTGAGGGAATGATATTTTGACATGGCCAATAATACGACAAAAGGCCTTTCATTAGCAATTTTGAATTTAAGGATAGTTTTTGGATGGTTTATAAATTAAGGATTTTTTTTTTTGATCATTTTGAACGTTTTGGACGGTTTTGAACTTAAGGATAGTTTTTGATCTCTAGAAACATAGTTTTTGTATGGTTTGGAATGAATAGGTAGTTTATGGATGTTCAAAAGTTATAGATAGTTTTTTTTTTTTTTTTATTATGTTTGAAACAATATTTTGGTGGTTAATTGATATATATATATATATATATGTGTGTGTGTGTGTTTGTAAAGCAATGTTTTCTTATATTGTACAGGTGAAATAAACCTATAGATTTTTTTTAAAAAAAAAAAAATATACATATTATACGGCACTCAAAAAATGATATAAAACTTGGGCTATCTACGGCAGGCAAAATAGGTCATTGTATTAAATATTCAATGACTAGCAATGAACGTCGTGGTTTGTCCCTGTAATTAACAGCGTGCCAAAGTAGTTGTAAAAAAGTCAAACACGACGCATAAGATCCATTGTTAAATATTTTTTACAGCGTACTACATCATGCCGTTGAAAGTGAATGACTTTCCATAACTAGTCATAATATGACATTACCTTGCACGTCGTAGAATCGTATCCATAGTGTTCATTTGGTGCCGTAAAAATCCTTTTTTGTTGTACTGTGTTTTGTTTTGTTTATTTTGATCAGTTAAATAAGAATTTTATTGATGAAATTAGATCATACAATACAATGTATGGAAATACATCAATAAAGGAGGGAAGGAAATGCAAAAATCATCGTAGTGAACTTACACAATCCCAACTAGGTTGGCACCAAGAAGTAAGCCTAATCATTTGCTAGCACTAACCTCAAAAGTTGGTGATAAACTAATAAGAGTATTGAGGAGCATGGGAAAATAGCATCAAAGCTACCATCACAGTCACAGCTCAAGCTGCAGCCTTTACAACAGCAGACTTCATGAAAGCAGTTCAAGCTACAGTCTTCACAACAGCAGTCTTAGCTGCAACTGTAACCATAAGAAAGGTGTTAGCCTAATCCCAAGCATATGAAATGAAGTTATGTTAAACCACCTGGATCAAGAATAGTTAGCAAGAATAGATATGGTTATAAAAGTGGAGTTAGTTAGATATGTCGATATAACAAAATTAGTTAGCATTGTTGAGTATAAATATATGTAAGAGACTTCATTGGAAATTAGTGAAAAAGAATTTCTTTAATTTTTGTTATGGTATCAGAGCCTCTCAACTCCAACGAGTGAAGGTCCTTCAATGGCGAATTCATCTTCGAGTTCGTATTCATCTTTTGTCCTACCTCCAAATATCAATCTTCTTCTGTCAAATTTTAATTCTCTAATCACAGTCAAGTTAGACTCTACCAATTTTCTTATCTAGAAAAATCAAGTCCAAAATGTTCTTTATGCTACTAACTTTCTTGGATTCGTTACTGGATCAATCTCATCTCAAGATCCAAAAATACTTGACTCTTTAGGCAAATTTATACCAAATCCTGAGTTTGAAAATTGGGAGATTATTGATGCTCACCTACTTAGCTTCATTACTGCTACTCTTTCTCCACCTGTGTTTTCCTTTGTTCCTCATCTTCAACATTGCTCTTATGTCTGGAATGCTTTGGAGAAGAGGTATACATCTTTATGTCGATCTCATATTCATCAGTTAAAGAACAAGTTACAAACTGCTTCAAAACCAGGTATATCAATGGAAGAGTATCTATCTCAAATCAAAATCATAGCTGATCAACTCAGCCTTGCTTCTTCTATAATTGATGATGAGGATCTAGTTCTTTTAACCTTGAATGGTTTACTAGATGAGTATGATGCTTTGAAAACAACAATTCGTGCTAAAGTTGAGCCAATCAATATGGAAGAATTGAGTTCTTTTCTATGTTCAGAGTCTATTCACATGGAGAATAAGACTAAATTTGCTCTTAGCACTGACTCTACTGTTGCCTACTCTGCCACTAGACATGCTAAGTTTAGTCCTTCAGTTTCCAAACGCCCCAATTATAGAGGCCGAGGCGCTTTTCGTGGCAAAAGAGGCAGGTACATAGGTAATAGGTTTTCTATTAAAGGTACTAGAGGACAACAAGGGCAAGGAAATTTTACTCCAGGAAGCTACTCTTCTTCCTACTATCAGATTTGTGGAGGTTACAATCACATTGCTTTTCACTGCTAGTTTATAATGGATCCAAATTACCAATCATCCAACTCTTCTTTATCTTTATTTGGCATGTCACAATCAAAAGCTTATTCTGCAATTGCATCTCCAGCTCTTTCTCCTTCACCAATATCTACTTCATCTGGTTCTTCCACACCATGGTATGTGGATTCTGCAGCAACCAGTCACATCACTAATGAGTTAGGAAATTTTCATCTCCATCAGCCATATCAAGGAACTGATCAAGTCATAGTTGGAAATGCCCAGACATTGCCCATTCAACATATTGGTAAAGGGTATTTTACCAACTCCTCAATATTCTTTGCACCTTCAGGATATGCTTCATGTTCCTAAAATTTTGTCTAATCTTTTATCTGTGCATAAGTTTGCTCAAGATAATAACTGTTCTGTTCTCTTTGATAGTAACTCTCTTCTTAGTCAAGACAATCTTACGAAATAGGTGCTCCATAAAGGTCCTAATATTCATGGCTTATATCAATTTGCTTCACCATCTTCATTTTCTAGCTCACAAGCTCGTTACACTTCTTCTCAGACTAAGGTGTCTATAGCTACTTGGCATCAAAGATTGGGCCATCCATCCTCTTTCAAATTTCATCACGTAGCTAAACATTTACCTATTAGTTTTAAAAATAATTGTGATGTTTTTTCTTGTACTCCTTGCAATGTTGCTAAAATTCATAAACTTCCTTTCAGGCTTTCTATCTCCACTGTATCTTAACCCTTTTCTCTTGTGCACAATGATGTATGGGGGCCATTTCATGCTTCTAAATGTGGATATAAATACTCTTTTTTGTAGATGATTTCACTAGATTTACATGCATTTATCCTTTGTTTGTTAAAAGTGAAGTTTACTCCACATTTGTTCATTTCAAAACTTATACTGAGAACTAATTCAATCTTTCTCTTAAAATATGTTGAACAAATAATGGTACTGAGTTTGTGAATCATAAAATGCATGATTATCATGCTTCCCATGGTATTATTCATCAGCTTTGTTGCCCATACACTCCTGAGCAATATGGCATCACCGAAAGGAAACATCAACATATTACCGAGATAGCTATTGCATTGTTATCTCAATCTTCTATCCCTCTTGATTATTGGTTTGAGGCCATGGCTGCTGCTATGTTTCTCATTAATATGCTGCCAAGTCTATCTCTAGGTCATTCATCTCCTTATCAATTATTGTTTAACACCATTCCTGATTACACTTTTCTCAAGGTGTTTGGTTGTCAACGTTTCCCTTGGCTTCGGCCTTATAGTTCCAATAAGCTCCAACCTAGGTCCACTCCATGTGTCTTCTTAGGTTATCATCCTTCCACCAAGGGTTACTGTAATAACCCCATCGTGAAATACTTTACATTTAATTAATGACGGAGATTTGGATTTTAATTGTCTACTATTCTGATTTAATTTGGGAATTATGAAAATTATGGAGACTGATTCATATACGATTCTATTGAAGATTTATTTGGAATTACAAATTGAAAACCTAATTGACTCAAGAAAGAATAAGTAGTGAGTCGATTTTTTTTTTTTAATTTCGAGTATCGAACCATATGGGAGTTTAATTAAATATTCGATTCAGATTTGTAAAATTGAGATTTGATTAATTGGGTCCAAATTGGAGTTAATTACATTATGAGGAGGGGGAATTATGATTATTGCAAATTAAATTTATTTATGAGGTATTCAATTTGAGTATGTAATTTATTGACGGAGACCTTGAGTTTGACCTAAACTTAAGGTCCTTATTGATGTGAGAAATCACAATTGGGACTTGTGATTAGGCATGATTTTATGTTGTTGATGTGAAATTGCATGTTTAAGGATATGAATTATAAGGATTTGAAGTTGTATCTATCGATTGTAGAAAAATCTGTTGAAATTACAGCTTTAAACGAAAAATTGAGGACCTTAGATGTGCCAGAAAACAAAACCGATTATATATTAATTGAAATTTAATTTCGGCTGATTCGTTAAGTCATGTTTGGCTCTTATTATTGGAGTAAGCTTTTGGATATAGATATTTCTGAGACAAGTTATAGATATAAGTGTATTGAGCTCATATTTTTCTCATTCTTATTCCTTGGGAAGAAAAATCTGGGGGAAAGAGAGGGAGAGTTTTAGAAAGAGAGAATGAGAGCTCTAAAGAACTCAAAGAGAAGAAGAGAAAAGTGTAGAAATTGAAAGGGGAACTCAAGATTTAGCTTGGATTCGCTAGGAATGTGCAAGAATAAAGGCTAATGAAGGCTTTAGGTAAGATTTTACCTCTCAAACCTTGAAGATCATGAATTAAGAGTTAGATTTATGGATTTTATGAAAGGTTTTACATGTATTTTGTCACATAAGGCAATTACATAGCATGATTTCATAAGATTCATGTTTATAACTTGTTTTCTTGCATGATTTCTGAGATTCATAAAGATTTCAAGGGACTTTCTCCATGGATTTTGCAATTAGAACTCATCACATGCATAGCTTTTGATTTTGTTCTTGGCTTCAAGTCTTTGAGCTTGTAAATGGAATTTTGGTCTTGCTTTGAAATCATGATTATCATTGAAGTTAGAATTGTTTAATTCAACATGGTTTGAAAGGTTTTGGGCATGGATTTGTATAAAATGAAGTTTATTGTAAGAAGTTGAGCCTTAATCTTGAGGGTTTGTATGGTTTGAACTCATTAAATTATATATGAAATGAATATCTATATGAATTTGGAAGAAAAGTTAGATTTTGTAACAAAAATAGAGTTTATCAATTATTGTTAAAGATTTTTGATTCTTGAGTTAAACCAAGTTTTGATGCCTTTGATTTGGAAAACAACCTTATTCCCATGTTTATCAATGAATTTATAAGGTTTATGTTGAGTTTCACTAAGCCCTAGCTCAAGAACATGCAAAGAAACCATTTTAGAACATACTGAAATTTCGGACCTGCTGTTGGAAGCCCAGAACCGCACGTGCGGTTTGGATTTCCGCATGTGCGGATTGCTCTATTTCAGCCAACTTTAAATAGGCATATCTTTTTCTTCTGGACTCCGTTTTAAGTGATTCTTGAGCCTAAATTCAATCCTTGGAAGTCTAGTTTCCAATGGTGGTAGTCTCACAGGCAAATTCTAAATATACAAATAGATATGCTCAAATTACCGAAAGTTGTTCACTTTCTTTCCAACCGTTTTATGCTATTTCTTCTCCTAACCCAGTTTCCTTTCGTTTCTTCCTATTTTCCTAGACATGGACTATGACCCAATGAAAACTGATGAGTTTAGAACCAACATAAATAATTGGTTAAAGAGCAAAATAAGGAATCGGTTTATTTGATTAAGAAAAGATTAAGATAAGTAAATTTGATCAAGAGAGTAATTCCATGTTTCGATATGTTGTGCTATGCGCATTACGATTGCAGGTTAAGATTCAAGGATTGGTCAACCATTTCTGGAAACCACTGTGAGTAATAGTATAGTAAAGATATGCTTTTCATTATCTATTTTGATTTATGTATGACATGATTCTTTAAATATCGTATTTTGTCAAAATGCACAAGTTTCCAAGAAATATGAAATGAGCTATGAACAAGAAATGTGAAATGAGCTATGAACAAGAAATGTGAAATGAGTTATCAACAAGAAATGTGAATTGTTTGTAATATGATACGGTAGGCCCATGGCCGTTTTGTTTATTTGTTCCATTTATGCTGTGACATGATATAAATTGTTCGGTCTTTAAGACTTATTAATTTTTGGTATGGAACAAAGTGTTGTACGAAACTAAGTGCTACAATGGGAGTCACCTCTAGAATCCGTACAAGTCACCTCTTGGGTCTATATATACATGAATTGGGCCCAAGAAGAGGTGGAGATATGTTGATGTTCCATCTACTCCATGATAAGATATGGTGATATGATATGATACATTTGGACCTGAGGTCATTCAAAAAATGTGATATGAATACGAATGCTTATACATCGATATATGACTCATGTTTACGAAATGTTATTTCATATGAATGAATGGATGTCCTATTTTGAAATGTGATTCTGACCCTTTGTATAAGTGGGCGTACCGCATACCACGTAAAATGTTTCGTAATGGTTTCAGATATGTATTCCATTTGAAAGAGCATAGATTTTGATACGATAAACACTTGTTTTAAAATGATTTAAGATACGTTTCAGAATTGTGAATTTTCCTAATGTTAAGGACATCATTCATTAACCCCTTTACTTTATTATTACTCACTAGGCATTAGCTCACCCTTTTTACTTTATATATATAGGTGAGCCATCGAAGGATCAATATTAGTGTTTGTACCAAAGTCTGCTTTTCTGTCAAGCCACCCAGAAAGTGTCTCTGTGTAGGGACGTAGTATAATTTTTCAAGCTTAGTGTTGTTTAATGGCTACTATATAGTGTGTGAGATTTGTATATGTAAATATTGGAAGTGTATGTAAATGCTTAAATTAATTTAGTTTTCATCTAAGCATAAGCTTAATGGACATTATTATTTGTTTTGCTTCCGCTCTAGGCCCCGATATGATTTGAATATTTTGAAATTTTGTTTTAAGGCCGAAGGTAACCTAGGGTTATTGGCCAATCATGATCCAAACTACTAGGGGCAAGTTTGGGTCATGACAGTTATAGATGTTTGGATCCCATTTCTGATAAAATTTTCCTCTCAAGACGTGTTTTGTTCAATGAGACTTGTTTTCCTTTTGCTCACACCACATTAGTTCCACCTTCTTTACTTACTATTTATTCTTGCTTTTGGTCCTTGATCCCTTCTCCTCAGTCTCCACAATCTCTTCTCACTTCATCTGCTACACCTACTGCTGCCCAGTCTAATCCTGCTACACCTACTGCTACCCAGCCTACTCTTACTGCAACTACTATTGCCCAGCCTACTCTTGTTGCACCTCCTGCTACCTAGTCTATTTCTGCTGCACCTATTGCTGTCCAATCATCTGTTGCTCAGCCCACTGTTGCAACCTCTTCTATTGCT